CATGTTTCTCCTCATTATTCTGCTTGCCTTTTATTTATATAATCAGCATATAAATATTGCCTCTCTGTTGCTTGCTTTACTTAGCATTGCAATGGGCAGGAGATGGTTCTACCATCTCCCACCAATTGTATCTGTGGGTATAGAGCACTTCCCCAGGCAGGCCCCAGGACAAATTCCACCCCTTCCTTTCCCCTCCCCTCCCCTTTTATTTATTTATTGGTATTGGGTATGGAACTCAGGACCCTGTGCTTTTGAGGCAGGCGCAGTGCCACTGAACTAAATCCCTGGGCCTCCCCTTCCCTTTTAGAATGCCTTTATAAATAACACTGAAATGAATATCTCTAGACTAGAACATGTTTTTACTGGGTAATAATTTTTTCTTATTTTATTTTGTTCTACATTTTGAGAATGCTGTCCTTACTTATTTTTCAAAATGGAGACCAAACTCTTGGACACTGGACATGTGCGAGACTGCTAGTTGCCCCTGGGCTGATTTACACCCCCAGTATTTCACTGTGAAAATTTTCAAAATACAGAACAGTTGAAAGCGTTTTCTAATATACCCTGTGTGCTACTTCAGGATGATTCTGGAGGCCACACGTGTATTTCTGAAACGCTGAGCAGAAGTTAGCTATGAGAGAACTGAGCGCCACCTTTCAACTGGCCCATCACAATCAGAGCTATTTATTATGTATATGAAGTTACATTTCATTGACTTTAGTATATTTCAAAGTGTACTAAGGTCTATTTTCTTACTGGATATGAATCCTGAAGTTATAGCCAGGCCACACACTATAAGATATTGTTTGCATATTTGTAGGCAATGAATCTGTGTGATCACAGAGTTTAGTAAGCCCATGTAAAATGGCACAGAACAGTGAGAGAGGAGGAGTGTTCACAGCATCATTGAGCTCTTGGGAAACCACACATCCCCATTCCCTTTCCCCTCTGCAAGCTCCACTGTCCTCTGAGATGACCAGGCCTCATGTCTTACGTCCCAATTCACTACAGGTCTCTGGTGGCCCTCTCAGCTCCTGGTTCTGTGTCAGTGATTTTGGGCCTTTCAGGAACTCTGCCAGGTGACCCAGCCACCACCCAGCCAGGCTGAGAATCCAAGAACAGCTACAGCACTGGTGCAGCTCGGCAGTAGAGCATGGGATTAGAGCACGGGAGGCCCAGCCTGACATGGAGTACCAAAACAAACAAACACCTACAGAAAAAAGATCAAATCCCAGCACTTCCCTTTATCTTTGGAAAAGGAGGACAAACCAGACCAGGGCTGGACACAGAGTGTGAACATGTGTTACACTTTTTCTGGGAGAAGAATCCAAGAAGCGTCTGGTGCTTTTGGAAGACTGGGGTTCTCCCAAGAAAGAGAACCTCCACAACATTTTCATGGTTCATGTCTGAAACGTCCCCAGAGATCCCTTCTTTCCCCCTCCCAGGCTGGCAATGGAATCTAGAGCCCCCACACACCAAGCAATTGCTCACAACTGAGCAGAACCCCAGCTCTCCAAGGACCAAGGTTTAAGCACTGGTTTCCAGGCCGTGGCAGTATTTTTAGGTGGTGGCAATTTTAGGAGATGGGATCTGGTGTCAGGAAACTATGTCTTTGGGAGTGTGATCATTAGGACCTTTTCTTCTCTGTTCTTACTTCCTCTCCCATGAGGTAAGCAGGTCTCCTCTACCCCAGGCTTCTGCCCTGATGGATGGTGGAGCCACAGACCCACAGTGACAGGGCTGGACAGCCATGGACTGAGCCTTCTGAAACCATGAATCCACATGACAGATCTTACTTAGAAGCTGTTCCTCCCAGGTACTTTGTCAAATGGCCACCTTCCATCTCATGGATGGACCAGCAAGGCAAGATTTCTTTTATGGAAGCCAAGTATGGATGTTCACCTGATGGCTCTGTCCAGAACTTCTCAGAGGGCTCCACAGTGCATTGTCCTCCTTGGGGACTCAGGCCTCCATGCTCAGGAGCTCAGCTAGAGTGGGGGCCCAGAGTCTCATCTGACAGGGAAAGTCTATCAGGTTGGTCTTTGCCTTGCTTCGGGACATCTAACACCTACTTCTGGTTGCTGCATGGAGAAAGTGAGCCTCAGGAACCTTCTGCAGACAACCATGGGGCTCATCTCCAGAGAACAGCCCTGGAGCCCTTTCCTCTGTCACCCTGGAGCCCCATTCTCTGTGGCGCTATAGTTCCACCTTGTACACATGAGGCTGAGCTCACGCACTTGGGCTCTGTGCCTGCCTGGCTGTGCTTTACACTCAGGGCCATGGTTATCTTGAGGGATAGTTCTGTCCTGGTCACATCAGTTCCCTGTGGTGCTGAAACACATACCAGTCCTCTGTGTCAGAATCAGAGTGTCTTGGTGAGCTGCAGGGGTGAGGCTTTGGGGTTGTCATCTGTGGGCAGCAGGAAATGCCCTCTCTTAGAGGGGTCTGCAGCAGCCAGTCTAGGGCTATGCCTTCTTTTCCATTTCCTATAGGAGAGCAGCTACTTAGCATGGAGAATACAGACTCAGTACTAGAAAACCATCCAGAGCCCTTTCACAGAGCCATCTGCTTGTACTTGCCCTTTGGAAAAATCAATGGATTTGATTTTTGGACAGTCAGTTTCTTAAGCCTGAAAACATTCATCAGAACACCATGGGCAGACAAGGCCACGTGTCCCTCTCCCATTGATCTCTGAAAAGTGGCCAGATGTCCTCACAATTTCCCAAAACAGACCTGGAGAAATCCAGTAGCCAGCAGGACTCAGGTGCGAGGAAGACAGGGATTGTAAGAGGCACCTGGCCCTGGAGCTGGGCTCAAACCCAGGCCTCATGCATGCAAGGTGTGCGGCTGCCCCTGAGCTACACTCCAGATACCCACACGGAGACACCATGTCTCTTCTCAGAATAAACACAAGTCCTGTAATGAACTCTGTTAGTTGAAATTAAGTGAAGACTTCTTCATAACCTGTAACTTGACATGCTATCCCAACAGCAATGAGGCAAGGCTCTGTGTCCAGAACTGACTATAAAATGCATGGCCAGGTTTCCCTCCTTCAGGGGCTGCTGGGCTGGGAATGGCAGCCAGGTTCTGGGGCCTGAGGGCCACAAAGATGAACCTGGAGTGATGGGGTTCAGGAGGATTCCCCCTGAAATCAGTCTTGCAGCCCCACAGGAGGCCAGCACCTCTGCAAAGAGTTGAGTGCCATTTCGGTCTTGTTTATTTTTCATTTAGAGGTGGCTATTGTTCAAGCTGGCCTTGAATTCCTGGGCTCAGTCCAGATCCCTGCTTCAGCCTCCCACACTCTGGGGATACAGGGGTCCACTGCCTTTCTGGCTCAAATTTTTGTCTTAGAGTCAGGCCCAAATGTTGGGCTAGTGTCCTCCCACTATGACTTGCTAAGCTAAGCTCCTCCCTCCAGCCAGTAGCATCAATTTAATTTTACTGTGTTGTTATTTTTGTGCCCCAGAAATATCAGGGAGGCAGAACAGTTTTTTTTTTCCATAAGAATTTTTTCTTCTTCACCAAGATTATATGGCCAATTGCCGAACAACTTTCCTTTCCCCAAGGAGTCTCAGGGCAAGGGAATAAAAGCAAAGACAGAGCCTGGCAGGGAACTCACCTTAGCCTCTTCCCCTGAACCCGGTGCTTTACATGGATTATCATAGGTAAGTTAACGCTGGGCCACAACCTTGTGATGACTGTCAGTTAAAAGACAAAGGCTGGAGACTTAGGGAGCTTGAAAAGGTTGCTCAAGACCTCAAGATCAGAACAGAAAAGTATGCGGCTGTGAGGCCAAAGTCCATACTCTTCCAGAGGAGAAAGCCCCATAGAAGGAGGCAGAACACTGTAATTGTGGAAGGGTTCTGGGCTCCAGATCTGCAGGGAGGAGAGACTGGAGTGGGCCAGAGTCCCAGGCCAGGAAGGCCAAAGGGAGGACCCAGGATCCCACCTGCGGCCCAAGCAACCTGGAACCACCCCTGCCGAGTGTCATTCTGCCCTTGTCCAGGGAGAAAGTACAGCCTGCTGGTGCTAGTGGGGGAGCATGAGACTGCCTTCAGGCAGGGCTGACAAGTGGAGCTCCCATTCCCCATGGTGACAATGGTGTCACCTGGCCATAGAGGTGTGGAAGGCTGGCTTGTCACCTTCAGCCTGCATCCGTGCTAGGCCAGATGGCATTCAGGCTGCTCTGGGCCTCTGGCTGACTAATCTCTTCAGGTACAAGAGTAAACATGGAGCCAGGGACACCATCTGGCCCTGACTCAGTGCTGGCCGGAATCGCCACCATTGCACCCAGCATCTGCTCTCCTGGGCCAACGAGGGAGCTGGCTCCATGGGACAGAGGGACAGAGGGACAGAGGGAGCTCATCGTGATGCTGCAGGAGGAATGGCCAGGAACATAGGGATGTGTGCACCAGGAAAGCATATCTAAAATGACATTTATTTTGCAGTGCGAGGATCAAATGCAGGGCCTTTTTTATGCATGCTAGCTAGACGAGTGCTCTGCCACTGAGTCACACCCCCCACCCCAAATGACATTTGTTTTCAAAGTGTGCTTTGTTTTGCTAGACAGTGTTCAACTCCCTCCCCTCCTTGTGACCATCATAGGCCCCTGGGAACCATGAACTGAGCGGAGGAGCTGCTTTCTCCATCATCTTCTTCTGTTGGGAATTTTACCCCAAGTTGAACGTGCAGCACTTCTTTGCTTAAAGGCTGTCTTGTTGCAATTGGGAAGCAGTGTCCCCATACGGTACCCATTTCCTCTGCCCTCAGCAGGGGTCCTCAATGAGACAGCCTAAAGGTGGAGGGGAGTCTGAAAACACAGAAGGCTTTGGAGGATGGGGACTTAGCCCCCAGGAAGAAACTATGGCACAGAAAACTTCTGCTCATCTGTTCTGTAGTCCACATGTGGGAGGGTGGTTCAGGTTAGTCCAGCCCAGGGTGGAAGTGGAGGAAGACAGGAGTACTGAAGGGTTCACCTGTCTGACTCATTCCTTTCCTAGATGCAGCAACCCTGGCATAAGGAGGTGGTGGAGCCCATGGGGCACACTCAGGAGGAACCACAGGAAAGAGCTCAGAGCCTCCTAGAGGTGCACAGTTTGTTCAGCAAGAAAGAAGCCAGTGGGTCCTTCACATTTGTGTCACTCTGTGCCACCTGCCTTGGGACCTATGAGTGGACCTATGATCTCCATCCCACAAACCTGTGGTCACCACGGAAACTTTGCAGCTGGAGCTCTAATGAGAGGGAAAGGCATTCCAGACCAAATCTTGACTGCTTCAAGAGCTTTTCAGGGATCCTGCAGTTTCCAACTCCCCAGCTCATCTGACCTTGATGAGTGCACAGATCTGATTGCTTCTCACAGATAAGGCAGGGAGGTCTTGAAGGCCTGTAACCTGTCAAGGGTGACACAGGCTGGAGTGTGCACCCGGCTCTATACTGGGACCTGAGAAGGCTCTGGGGCCTACAGGCTCTGTATGGGCAGAGAAGGTGCAGAATGTAATGTGTTTGCTTAAAGTATGTTGAAAACTTCCTGTTCTGGGGCAGCAGCTGGCAGGTGGAGCTGGACCGAGATGGCCCCAGGAAAATCCAGATCCTTTTCCTCTACCCGGTCCTGTCCAAACCCTGTCCTCCCCACCCCACCCACAAGAGACATCGTAGCTTCCTGGACTTTCTCCCTCCTTTTGTTTTTTCAGTCCTGCTGTCTCTGGAGCTGTTCTTGTAAAGTGAAAATTCCAACCCAACATTAACAATTTTCACAACGCTGACCCAGGCAAGACTTGTTCTTGACATTTTAGAAAGCTAAACTGCATCCTGGAAAGGATGAAGTAATGGGTCCATTTCCCAGCATGGGAGCTTTGAGGGCATAGTGACTCCTCAGGGAACCCAACCTGAGATGCACCTCAATCTCACTTCCTCCTGTTCTTCCCTTCAGGGAGAGATGGAAACATCTACCCCACAGCCTCAAGGTGGAAGCAGAAGGAGCGTTTTGTGTCCTGTCTTCCACCTTCAAAGCCCAGCCTTCCACTGGGCACCAATTTTTACACATTTTACCTGGAAGAATCTCTGCAACCCATCCTTCCCTTGCTTCCAATGAACTCTCATTAAATAAATCTTCAACAAAACCTTAGGCAATTTAGCAGCTTGTCTTGAATTTATCCTCTTTTTTACCTATTCTTCATGAAGCCACATGACTTGCCTGTAAGAAATGCAAATTTGACCATGCCTCGCCTCACTCTAAATTCTGATGCCCCTGTGCCTGCAGGAGGCCCCAGCCCCTTTTCCAGCCCTCTCTTTCCACAGGCTGCTACCCCCACCTCATCTGTGAGGCTGCAAAGAGCCACTATCTTTGTCAACCCTGGGGACCTTAGGGTATCTATTCAGTCTGCACCGAATCTGTGACATTTCCAAATAACCTAACTGAAATGTCACCTGCCCGCCCCTGAGAGTGGAGGTACAGAGGTCGTCATTCCTGCCCTGTGTTGCTGAGGGGTGCATGTGCGCGCTGTGACACTGCTTGCAGTGCACTCTCACATTCAGGGGTCTTTCCTGCCACTCTGCCATGGACTCCCCGACGTGTTCTTGTGCACTTCCCACTTGTGTCGTGTCCTTCCAGTTCTTAAGCCAAATTCTGGGAGTCATCCCCCCACCCCCCATATGTATAGTGCACTAAGAGTCCGACTCGTTCCATCAGGCCGCACCTCTGCAACCAGTCCCATCCACCTCCCCGATGTGGCCCATGAGGTCCACCTGCCTCACTCCAGGTCTAGGCAGAAGACACCTAGTCTTCACTCACTTGCACCCTGGCCCAACTACAGTTCGTCCAACAAAGCAGACAGAGTGGCTTCCAAGAGGATTGGGCATTAATGGCTCCTGAACCCCAGCATTTCCAGAGGCAGAATTCCCTGAAATTTCTGCGTAGAATTCCCAGCCTGCTGTCCCACTACAACATTTGGCCACTCTGTCAGTGCTCAAGGGCTCTGTTCCACCAGCCCCCATCCCTCTGCATTGTCCCCTCAGCCTGGCTAACACCCTCAGTTCTTCACATCCTTGCTCTAGTGCCACTTAGTGAAAACCTTACACAATCCATGGGCCTTCAGTCCTCCAGTTTGTGCTTTATTTTTTTCCCATCGCTCCCTGGTTTGGAGGAGTCTAAAATGTTCTTCTATCTTATTTTATTGCCCATTGGCTGCTGTACTCATGAGACAAGTCATGCATTTGTCTCAGAAATGTGGCCCCTTACTAAAATCCTGGTTTAATATCCTTCTTATTAAGCTAATATTTCAAATTTTTTATTGACATAACATTTGCCCACACTTATGGGGTACAGGACAGTAATTCAATACATGTATACAGTCTAACATGCAAATCGGGGTAAGCAGCTTCCCTAAATCCTCAAACATTTGTTGTTTCTATGTGTTATGAATCTTTGGCGTCTTCCTTTCTAGCTACTTTGAAGTATGTCACACATGACTGTGTTCTGTGGTCACCCTGTTGTATGGGTACAGCGTGGAGGTCACTGGCCCTGTCCACTGTGTTTTAACTCTCATTGTCCATTGTTGGAGGGAGGGTACACTAGTACAACCATTGTGGAAATCAGTGTGGAGATTCCTCAAAAAACTAGGATTAGAGGTCCCATTTGACATAGCTTCTCCCTTGCTGGGGATCTTCCCAAAAGAAATAAAAGCATCATACCACAGTGATATATGTGCACCTATCTATGTTTATAGCCAGTTTATAGTACAGTTTGTAATAGCTAAAGCTTGGAAACAGCCCAAATACCCATCAACTGGTGATTGGATAGAGAAGATGTGGTTTTCTTTTATACAATGGAGTACTACTCAGCCATAAAAATGATAAACTAGAGACATTTATAGCTAAATGGGTGCATATTGAGGCCATACTCTTAAGTGAAATAAATAGGACACATGTGTAAATATGGAATTGTCTCTCTGGTGTGAGAAACTGGAAGTGTAAGTGAGGACCAAACTGTAAAATAGATAATGTGACAAAAGAAGAAAAGGTCCAAAGGGCAAGGGGAAAGGAAAGAAGGGTGTAAGGGAAAGGAAAAAAAATGAAAAAAATAACAAGGAAAAATGGAAATGAAGCTTTTGTAAATAGAGTGGGTGGAGGGGTGAAAGGGAAGGGAGGGGAATGGGAGAAAACAAGAACTAAGATATGTGATGCACAGGCACAAATTCTCAATGATGAATATGATCATAATATATTCCTAAAATGTACCAATAAACTTAATTTAAAAAAAGAAAGAGCGAAGGACAGGATGATTTGGAGAAAACAAAGCAGTGGTTCGAGTTTGGTCCTGGGGGACCTCAGCAAGGTGAAGATGGGTGACAGAAAAGCCACCAACTTGGAGGTCAGAAGTATCACTCTCCGTGCGACAGGAGCCCCAGAGAGGACTACAAAGGGGGAAGATGAGTACAACTTTGGGACATGAGGTCTCATAGGGAAATCAGAGTAGGAGATGCCAAAGGGCCTTTAAGATAAACCTGTCTGACCTGAGACAAACATGAGCAGTGGCACAGCTGATCACGCTATCCAATACAGAAGCCGATGGCCACACACCACTCCAGCTTGAAATATGGCGGAGGCATTGAATTTCAAACATTTATTTAATTTTAACTATTTTAAAGTTTATAAATTAGTGCTTGAATCAGGTATTGGAAAACTTTGAAGAATGTTTAGAACAAGCTGGATAGGTGAGTCTATTCTTCAATTACAAATTGACATCTAAACACAGGGCCAGTGTGTCAGATGTACCTTGTATTCCTACTGAGATGCATATGAGTCACCCCATATGCTCAATACTTAGCCCAGGAAAAGAACGCATGCTATTTTGTTGATACTTTGTATTGATTATACATTTGATTAGTTCTATTTGGGATAACATAATTTGTTATCTTTGTTTTAAATAAAAGCACATTATGAAAATTAATTTACTCTTTTACTACAGCTGTTAGAAATACAAAACTATTCACTAATACTGCATTTGCTTGGACAGCACTGATCGAGGGAACACACACAGGACCTGTACCTACTCACAGAAAATACTCGTTTCAGTCTTCCAGAACGAGGGAAGCTTCAATCAATGCCAAATAATCAATACACACAGATTGTGCTCTCTGATCATAATAAGATAAAACAAAAAAATCGGTAAGCACAAAGGTTCAAATAGCTCCTGGGCCCACAAAATAAAACCATACACTGGTTATATATTATGAGTCAATGAGAACAAGAGGAAATTTAAAAGACATTGTGAAATACTTAGAGCCAGATGGCAAAGCAAATATGAAATGCTGAACTTGGTGGCTGCTGCTGAAGGGGCCCTGGGGTGTGGCGTAATTCTGGGTACTGAGCATGAGGGAGACACTCTTAAGCCAGAACTCTGGTGGTAGAAGTAAACCCAGGAGGAAAAGAGGACAAATAGCAGGATGGAACCCAGGCAAGGAGAAGGAAGGATGTAGAATAGAGGAGAACTGAGAGGAATCAGGGAGTAGTTCAAAGTCCCTTCTAAAACCTGTAGTTTTCAGAGTTAGGAGGAATCTGGGACATTGATGGCTGGAGACTTAGTGAAGGGGACAGTGGGCAGAATAGACATCTGTGCAGGGATCGCCTCAAGGGAAGTAGGGAACCACACGGACACATGAGAGTGGCACGGGCACTGTCCTAACTCCTGGTCTTTGCACTTGCGGAGCAGCATGATTTCTTCAAATGGTGTGGGGAATCTAGGGTGAAAGTCTTAGCCTACACATCTCTCCTTTATAAGATTCTGAAAATAGGGCAACCTGGGGCTCAGCACTCTACTGCCCTGTAGTTTGACCCACTCTCCCATTCCTACCTGGAAACCTTTTCAGAGAAGGTTTTGTTTTTGTTCCCCACCCCTCAGTACTGGGGATTGAACTCAGGACCTTGCACTTGCCAGGCAGGTGTGGTGCCACTGAGCTACATCCCCAGCCCATGGAAAACTTTTCAGAAAAGCCATGGTCCTCATGTCCTGAGACGACATCCTCTGGCTGCCCTGTGGACTCCACATGACCAACGTCTAAGAAAAAGGAGAGCAGGCAGGAGGCCTGGGGTTGGCAAGGAGAATGACTCTCCTAAGTCTAAAGGTAGGCGTGTGTGTGTGTGTGTGTGTGTGTGTGTGTGTGTGCATGGTGGGGGTGGGGGTGGGGAGAGAGATCAGAAATCAACTTTCTCAGCTGCTTTCTTTGTAATTAGGGCTTGTGTGATGAGCTGGTTCCCAACTGTCTGGTAGGAAATGATCCAGTTTGGGCAGAGAGGCTGCTGCAGTAAACTTGCTGGCCTGCAGAGTCAGTGCATAAAGGTGCTTACTCCTTGACCAGGGCAATCTCCAGAGAGGCCCACTGGAGGCTGCACAGTACCTTTGCTCTGGAACTGCAGGTACAACTGGGGATCAGGTCCCTCTAGGTCGCCACGAGGAGGCCTCTGCCTTTGTCTGCAAAGGCTGCTGGCCAGGGCTCAGGGCAGCCCAACAGCTGATGGCCAGGTGCATTTCTCCTGGCTGCAGGCAGAAGTGAGCTCTATTTTCTTTTGCACATAAAGATAAGAAACCAAGGGCCCCCTTCCGAAAGCAAACACCTTTAATTTGAGCCACTGCCTAGTGTGATTCACCGGATGGAATTTACAACAGTGTTTACCCTTTCCTGCAAAAGTGGCAAGCAAATCAATCCTAATAGGAAATATAAATGCTCTGTGAATGCATTTGAACCTCTCAGGAGGGGTCAGTGAAGGCTGCTGCCCTCCCAAGTGTCCCCTGGGGAGAGGACAGTGGTCTTAATGACTGGGGAGACACTCCAGCCGGAAGCCAAGCCAGTCTGGAAGCACTAGCTTTTGCTGGCCCCTCACAGCCATGGGAATTCAGACAAAACTCCAGGAATGCCCATCTGGGCAGCTGGGGCACTTTCAAAGCTGAGAACCTGTCTTAATCTCCACAAAACCAACATAGATAAGCAATGGCTGGTGCAGGACTGAAATTAGCCAGTGCTGCTTTGGGCCACCCTGGTGACCACCATCCTGCTCCGCGTGCCAGGTGGCTCTGCTCAAGTGTGCTGGCAATGTTTAACAGCCTATTCTTGTACCTGTTCCTGCCACCACCACTTGCGCCAGCAGGAGCCTTTGTTTGAACCCTGGCCCATCCTGTAGCTGCTCACAGCAAAGGGGACCCTGGGCCCACATTCCCTGACTGCTGCGGCCCTGCTTCCTGGACATTGCAAAGAGGGGGATGTGGCCTTGCCTCTGTCCCTCCATTACTTTGCCCACCACCATGTGTATCAAAGTGTCACTTACTTAGTTCACCTTCATTGGTCTTCTTGTAAAAGGAATTTCCATTTCAGCCAGTGCTGTGAAAAGCGTCAAGCATAGTCTTTCTTGGTTACTTCCTCTTTAATCAGACCTGTGTTTCTTGCTCTTTCTCTCTCAAATCTAGAAACCATTTCTGCCTCAGTTGCTCGTTTTCAGGGATTCACAGATCAAGTACTAGGAAGAACCATTTGAATTAGATGTTTTCATAGACCTAAAGCAAATACTGCATTTTCACATGGTTCCATTTATTTTCCTCGCAGGACTGCCCACTTTATTTTGGAGCTTTGCGAGGATAACTGAACTGTGGTTTTTGTTTTGTTAAACAGTTTCTTAATGAACTCATCTCTCCTTTTCTCCCACTCTGCCTGGCCCTGCTTGCAGGTCCTCAGCCTGCATACTTGGGAGCACAATGTCCCTATCTTGTGTTTCTACATGTCACAATGTGGGTACAACTCCAACTGTCTCAGACACACCTCCGAATGGCAGCCACTACTATCAGCCTGCCCATGGAACTATCCTTGAAACCCAATCTCTGAGCATCAGGTAGAAGCCCTGGGGCCGATACCATGTCACTGCCCACTGTGTTATCTGTAGCCTCTCTGGGGCTCTCAGGACACAGGTTTCTTTATCTTCCAAGGGGACTGGGTTTGGCTGGAGGTAAACACAGGTTAGACTTGTGTGAGCCCCAAGGACATGGAGTACCCACCGCTGAAAATCGCTGTGCCTGGTGATGGCTCCAGTGCATGTCCCTCTGTGTGTCCTCACACTATGCCCTGGGTGATGGTCTGGCTTTCTGTGACCAGCAGCATGGGGGAGTCCTACACTCAATTCTGTCTTCAAGGGACACAGACCAGATGCAAGGAGGGCAATATCTCTATTCTCTTTTCAGAGGTACATTAAAAACGGCATCCTGGTACATTTTGCCCTTAAGTTCAAATTTGCTTTTGAACCAGGAAGTTAAGATGGAGTGGAGAAAACCTCTTCAGAACTCCCAGAATGGCCAGGCAAAGGGAAGCATGTGGAGATATCCTAGCCTATATGTGTGTGCACCTACGGATTCAAGTTCTTGTCATCCCTTCTTTGGGACACATACCTGAAAAAGAAATTGCTGGGTCATATGGTTCTGTGTTGAAATGTTTGAGGAATCACCAAACTCTCCTCCACAGTGGTTGTATCATTATACTTTCCTACCAGCAATATATAAGGGTCTAATTTCTCCACCTCCTTGCCAACATTAGATTCTTTTAAAGAGCCACGGTCA